CCGTAAAAACTCTTTATACAAATTTAAATATCAATTTTATGGTTCATGGACTATGTATATCGCTTATGAAGCCTTTGGTAAGTGGGAAAGGCTGAGACTTCGATTTATAGGTTTGAGTGCCAATTTTTGCGGATTTTGTTCTAATTTTTAAGGTATATTCCTTTTATGTTATAATTATTTAATAAGAAACTAATTTGTACACGATTTTTTTTTTTGAACATTGAAAAAATGGATTGGGAAAGAAAAATAAGTCCTAAATTTAGAACCCATACTATTTTAACCTACGTATTCAAATGGGTGGTCACTGCACCCTTGGGGTTGGACATCAATTTGTACACTATTTTACATGTAATTGGATGCAACATTTAATATACTGGAGAAGGTAGTTATTCTCCGTGAGGATGCCTGGGTGTGGTAATCCATTGTTTGAGTGAAATAACTTGCAACATTCCTAAACTAAATGTAATTTATCAGCATATTATGCCAAAGAAAACTATTCATCATATTTAACTTAAAAAAATCGCAAATATCATATTATAACTACTCCTGGCATAAATTTCAGTAATTAAATCACTAATAAACGAATATTATCATGTTAAAAGTTAGGTTGGACAATAAAAAAAAAAAAAGAAGTTAGGTTCAAAAGCTTTAATTCAAAGTTTATGTTTTGGAATTAACACCCAAAATAATTTAATTTCTTTAAATACATTAAGTTGATATGGTGGCATACTTAAGATTATTTAAAAATGGATTAGTCTAAGATGATTTCAAGAGCTATATCCTTAAAATTATCAAGACAAAACTAGTTTTGAAGCATGTGTATACTGACAAAACACATTCTAATCGTTTTTTTTTTTTTTTTTAATTTGCTTCTAGCATGTGAAATAGACTAATTGCAATTTTGCATGAAATGAAATACAAATTAAAATAAAACATAGCATTTACACCCATTTTACAAATTAATTAGAAAGAGCTATGTGTTCTATTTGTTCCGAATTTGAAAGAGTCAAAATGCATTGCCAACAATTATTATGTGGTGATCTCATTAATCGAGTTAAGCTCAATAATTAATTTTTCTCCAGAATCAACGCAAGTATTTGTTGCCACATCATTGACCAAGCAATTCAATGATTGTGTACTTTCAAAGCATATCGACAATATGAACAAGTTAATCATTTTATTGTAGATTTCACGTTGTCATTGGTTCTCAAGATGCTGTTAGTAAAACTCCATCATACTGCCAAGGTGCTATCAAGCAAGCAGAACCTGTCTCTCACCCAACTAACCTAGCACTATTTGCATTTTAATTTTTACAAGTAATATCTTAGTTTAGATCTAAGTTTTCTTAAATAGCTTTCCTAGTTTAATCTTTAGCTATATACTTCCATTGGCTTTAGCTCTAGTTTTGTTTTGTTTTTTGTTTTGAATATCTCTACTAATGTATTTGATTTCTTGCAATTCAATTTATTACATTTGCTCTAAATTCATCTTCCTAACTTCCTTTAAGTTTAATTTTATGCTTCCTTGACTACACAGCCTTTATTTCATTTTTTACACTTTCATGATTTTGCAATAACATCACGCTTTCTCTTTCCAATTTAGTTTTTCTGCCATGCAGACTCTTTCTTCTTTTTTCCTTTATTTTTCTCTATTTTTTATTAGCAAATTAACATTTTAGCCTTAGTTGTGGGAAGTTTTTGATTTTTTTTTTAGAACAATTACTAATGAACATTTATGTAAAAATACATCTTCATTTTTGTGACAATTGTCTGATCATGATACATTTCATAATTTATTTAATTGGTGCTCTTCCATCAACTCACAATAAGTTGTATACTTAAAAGTAGCGAAAGTTCCTAAAAATTCCTCTTTCACTTTGAGGAAAGTGAGTGGCATATTTTTCGTAATTCTATATGAATGAATGAGTGAGGGAGGTTGAGGATTCGGAATATCACGAGCAGCATAAGGTAGATATAATTTTATTTCACCTTCAAAACTTGGCTTAATTATAATTTCGTTAATAAAATAAACAACAAATCAGAGTGGCGCAGCGGAAGCGTGGTGGGCCCATAACCCACAGGTCCCAGGATCGAAACCTGGCTCTGATAAATGAGAAGCTTCCGATAAAATTTTCCAACAATATTCTTATTAAAACGACGTCGTCTAAAAGCTGACTTGTTTACGAAATTTACTCGTATTGAAAAAGGCAACCTGATTGAAAACGGTAACGCAACTTCCAGCCGCGCTTTCTCCCCCACCGGGTCGTCTTCCTTAGCGTCTTCCCTTCCTTTTTCTCCGATCAAATGAATTACGATTTCAGGAACAGAGCAGCTCCTCCGCCGTACAACGCACAGATCCCGATGTACCGTCAGCCGGCGTCGTCTTCATCAACGCCATCTATCCATCCGATGTACGGATATTCCATGTACCCGAGGGTCGGTCAGCCTGGCCCTGGACACAACGTACCGGCATCTCGTGCCTCCTCCTTCAACCACGCTTCTGCTCCGACATCCTCCTCTTCCTGTAAGTCTCTCTTTGTCTTCCTCATTACTTAATTTTCTGATTTCCAGGACTGAGTGGTGGTAAATATGTTGATCTGGAATCATTTTTCTTTTAAATTGTTCAGTAACGGAATGCTGATTATTGTTATTATTTTTTCTTCTTGCAGCTGGATTGGGCATTAAGGTTACTTTAAAACCCGAGTATGGAATAACTCATCCGGTAATGATTTCAATATTTTAATTTTATTTATTCTATTTTGTGGCATTTTTCCGTGCATTCTCTGTTTAATCGAAGGATATTTGGGAACTAATTTGAATATTTGAATGAGATTGGATGAATTTGACCCTTTTGCAGTATTATACATATTTTTTAAAATTTTGCTTGAATTCCTTTTACAGTTTAATGCGATCTGTGGCTTCTAATTTCAGTTCTAGAAACTTATATTCAAACGTGAGATTGTGATCTTGAGCAGATGTTAGGAATGTGGTACCAGCGTTGTATTATATTCTAGTCTTTATTGTTTGTTTAGTATTTGAATAATTTTATACCATTTTAGTTGCTGTTCTTTATATTGTTCCATTGCTTGTCTCTTCCATTTGTCTTTGCTACTTATAAAGTATGTTCTGCTATCAATCCGGGTTAGTGAATAAGCAGGTCTTAAGATATCTATAATTTTGGGAAACTATTGTCATATGATGTTTCCCATGATATGTGAGGTTGTTTTGTTAATTGTTTCTACTGCAGTCACGGAAAAGAAAAACTTAATTTAGTTATGCAAGTACATTTTCTGACATTTGTTGGTACCCTTTTAATTGCTTATTTGCAGCCTCAGTTGGCACCACAAGCAGGAGATATTCCTAGAAGCAATTTCCAGTTTGATTTTGAACTTGAGAGAAAAATCGTAGCTGAGGTGGAGAGGGGAGGCCAGAATTGGAGCAGGCTTGGGTTGGAAAATCTTCCATCTAATGCTACAGAGTCAACATCCTCAGTGGTATGTTATTTTCAATAGATGATTGTAAATTTCCTGTAGAATTCTTGTAGACTGACAAAATCACTTTTAGGATCTGGTTTGCAATATGCATATGTTTTTTTATTTTCACCTGTAATTATTCTGAGCTATGCATGTTCATACTGTTCTAAGGAGGTGATCTTAAGAGACATATATATAAGTGAGCTTATCTTTGATTCTTACTACAAGCTGAATGACCTGATTTGGAGGCTTGATTATTGATTAAAATATACAATTTGAGATTAGAGCCTTTTTCAAGCAAAAAAGAATGCGGCCTTTTTATGTTCATAGGCTTTGAAGAGGAATTAATGATGTGTACTAGCAGGAGTACCACAATTTTTAAAAATACGATAGGCAGACCATATCTTAATCTTATTGATGGTAGCTGGTGCTTTTAGATCGTTTAAAATTTTAAGTATAGTTTGGCAGTCTTTTTTTGTAATGACTTTTTAATTTGAGAAATCTTGTGGTCTGAGTACCATTTTTCACCAAAGAAATGAAGGTTCTTGCTACTTTCCAGAATGCTTTGTTCACTTATTTGTGCCAGTTTATTGATTATTTAAAGTTTTTTTTTTTTTTTTTACATGATTTGTTTATTAAAGAACATCTGAATTTCTTTTTCTAAGTCTGTACCTTTGCAACTGTAGGGTTCTGTTGCTGATCCTGTAGTGAGCAAATATATTGCATCTGGACTCAACCGGGAAGCTGTTCCTATTGCAGTTACAAATTATGGAGACAATCCAACAAAGGTATTATTTTAGAATAACATTTGTTAATGCACAAAGTACTGCAGGCACATGATTTATTCATCATTTTCAATATAAACTACATATCAATTGGGGTCAAAACTTTGAACTTGTTTGATCTGCTTTGGTGTGTTTGATCACCTGATATTAAAACTTTTTTGTATACGGATTGATTAAATTTGAAGTTCAGAACTTGCTTCAAGCTTAACATATGTATCGGGCTGCAAGTTGGTCTGAATCCATAGGTTTGGGTTGGTTTTAGACCTAAACCAAAATTGTTGGTTCCAAGTAAACTTGGTTTCAAACCAGAACCATGTTTGTGTGGAACCAATCAATCTAGATCCAGGATCTCGGATTGGATTGGGAACTGCAATAATCCATGAAACATTACTTAGTGATTATTTTTCCTCCCTTTTTCACTTTTCTGGAAATCCCCTTTTTCCACTTTACTTGCTTCTTTTTCTTTATTTACATATTAAATGAAAATTCTTTTTCATAGACTTCTGTAACCATCTTTTCTGAATTTTACTTTTTACACATTTTATAGCTAAAACTGTATTGGTTTCATTAAAACCAATCCAATTATTGTGGATCCTTGTGGATTTTGTTTGTTTATGGACAAACCTGAACCAAGTTTCAGCCCTAGATATGTAGAAGTGAGGAAAAGGGATATTTATAAGTGCTTATGAAGGTTTATTTGGATCGTCTTGCCTACATTTTCTTAATTGAGATTGACAGAGAAAAAGATAGGATGATGATTGGGGGGACAAAAACTGAAAGGCCTAATGGAAATGCTGAATTATCTCCTCCATTGATTGTGTGGGATCAATGGAGGTGATAAATTCCACCTCCCATTGGTCTCTCAGTTTTCAGTTTCTACTTCATTTTCTAAAAAGATACAGGTTTATTGGCTTTATAGGCTGCTTTGGATCTCATTGGTAGAATCACTGGTTTGGGTGGTCCAGGTCCTAGTTTCCTTCTGTTCTTTATGGTTGCAGAATGCCTTATAAAGAAAATTTAGCTTCATGTTACCCCCTTTGAAGTTTAATGTTTCTTGCACATCTGCATCTGACACTTAGCTTCTGAGTTTCATAAGTTAATAAAACAATGCTTCTTCGGTTTCCAGGTTCGTGAGTTTGTCAATGGTTTCATCCCCCTACGAGAAATGGGATTCTCATCAAGCAGTGTTGCTGAAGCCTTACTCATGTATGATAATGATACAGAAAAGGCATTATCACATCTCCTTAATAGCTCATCCTGATTACCGTTGGAAACCATGCTTTGTGCATGAGACTTCGTTGGAGTGATGGTTTCTGACAAATAGTTGTATTTTCCTTTGGCTGCCTTGGTTCTGATTGTGTTCGTAAAATTAATAACATTTTCTAATTTTTTTGGCCATTACATTTTCTGATTATTGTCCCTTTTCGAGTAAGAGCTTCTCTTCCCTACATAATGTTTCTCATTTAGGGATACTGATTGTATTATGTCACAAGTTATCTGTTGGTGCTGCGAGAACTTTTGGGTTCTTTATGGTTCAAATCTGTCCAATTTATATTAAAATGGGACACCTTAATGGAAAAACCATTTTTGGTGCAAAAAATTAATCCCAACAAGTTGAGGACCAAATCTAGCATCAAACCTTCTTTTAAACAAAAGAGTAAGCTTCAATCATGTCTTTAGACCCAAAAAAAAGAAAAAAAAAAGAAAAAGAAAAAAAGGAGGAACAGAGAAAGACTGTATATCTCATCAACTGCATGATCAACTATAACAATCATCTCTTTCGCTGAGATGTGTATGGCAACCATTTCCTTCTGTGGACTGTGACCTCTCCAATTGTCAGTTCACTTGAAACCAGCCGAAATAATCTTCATGTCACAGGATCTGATGCCATGTAATCGAGATTTGAGTCATGAAACTCTTCCTGCCTCAAAAGCCTACATTCAGCAAACTTCAACCATTTGAGTAAATATACACCACCATCAACCAGCATCATCTTTATATTTACTTTCTATGATCTTGGAGCAAGCGGACTCAAAGTGCGTTTGAGATTATGGTTGAAAACATTTTTGTGTAATCATATAGCACTTTTAGATATATGTGTGTTTGATAATTTTTTTTTCAAACTGCTTTCTTAAAAAGTTATAGAAAACATAAGAGATCTACAATAAATTTATGTAAAAAGCCAAAAATCTTATTTTGAAACTTTTTATTCTGGCTTTTACGAAGAATACTTAATATTTTAATATAATTATAAAATTACCCATTAAAACTCAATTTCATATAATTTAATTATATCATAATTTA